TATTTAATTAACGCATTATATTATTTTAATTTTTCCTTACAATCTTGTATGCATTGTTATATTCTAATATTAAATATTTTTATTTTAATCATATTATAAAACATTGTAATTCACTAAATTTTCAAGATTTTTTTTGATCATTTTATATGTTTATCAGCTAGTTTATTCGAAATATGATTTATTCATCAGCTATGAACTAACTTAGTTATTTTATCAGCTAGTTTACCAAACATAACTTAGTGTATAGTTTTAGTACAAGTGAAAATGATATTACCACTACATATTTCCAAAACTTTTCAAATAAATATGCGAATGGAAAAAAATCAACAGACCACTTATAACCTTCTATCGATGTTATTTACGTCAAATCCGCACATAAAGGACTGAAATGACAAATCGTACACCCCTAATTGCATAGTGTACTCTGATCTAAATATATATAAAAATAAGTTTTGGTGGTTGAATATTGAACATAACAAAGAGCTTTGAATTAGAAAAACAAGAGGGATTTCTTTCGTCAACCACAACTAGATTCTTAGCGTGGGGGATCATGGTGATTTGTGACTTCCCGTTGGGAACCGGTTCATCTGTCCCATTCGGGCCGGGATTACCTGTACAAACAAGTACCGGGTTCGGGCCGAGGATCCCCTACATGTTGAAACCACTGTTGGGGCAGCGTATTGGATTCTCCAACCCGTCCTGTCTGCATATGTATTTATATTAACTAATTTTTTTATGTCTTCTATTATATATTGTATTTTTCAACCAATTTTTGATCATTTTTCGAACCATTTATTGTTAAAATGGGGATTTAGGTGGGATAAACCGGTCAGGAGTGGACCGTGGACAGGCCTAACAAAAACCGGGGAGGGGATTTGAAACCCTGTACCCATTGGGGACGAGGGATGAGATAGTAGAACTAGGCCAGAGATTGCCTTCCCCGCCCCATTCCCACCACATTGCCATACCTATATGGGTAGTTGCTAGGAGATCATGGGCGCCAAATATATAATTTCTTTAGAGGAGACAAGGAGGGAACGACGAGGGTGGAGTGGTGAACAGGAAGGAAGGGAATGATCACGAGGGAGGGACAAGGGACCTCTGATAGCAAGGAGTGAGACCGAGACGAAGGTGGTGCTGTAGGTGACGAGATTGGGGTTGTTTAGGTTTGTACCTTCAATGTTGTTATTGTATTATATCATATTTTTAAAAATTCTAAGTTTATATTTAACCAAGTGTATGTTTTCAATTTAATAAGTTTAAATGGTGCTTAGTTTAATTGATTAAGTTTTATTAAGATGTTTGATTTTAACTCAGTACAAATATATTGACTTAACATGTTAAGTCATCTCATCTTATACATTTTAATGCATTAAGGTAGGAATTTTTTTTCTTCCAAAATTACCTTTATCAAATAGTTTTTAATTAACGTCTCATTAAAAAGATAAAAAGTTTATCAACATGTATAAATTAAATTTGTAAACATAAGGTTAAAATGGGTCATTTAAAATATTTATTACACATTTTATTTTCATTCAACATTTATGTAGACATAAGGTTAAAATGGTAATTTTTATTATTACTATTTATTCAGAACAAAAATCAAACAATAATTTATCTAAATAAATTAATACTTAGAGACAACTTAGTAAATTCAAAACATAATAGATAAAAAAACAAACAACCTCTAAGTCAAAATTTCCAAAATAGCCTTAAGCAAATATATATATTGAAACAATAAACTTATAAAATATTTTAATAATATAATGAATGTTGAAATTGTTAAGTGGCCGGACAAAGGGTCGCAATCCCGCATGGGTGAGCTAACTCCAAAAACCTGTCCTCAGTTCGGATTGCAGGCTGCAACTCGCATGCATGAAGCCGGAATCGCTAGTAATCGCCTTATGAAAACTCTAATATTCTTGCAGAATTTATAGTCGGCCAATTAAAATCGAGTTTCTTTTCGCAAAGCAATGAGAAAGGCTATAGATTTAATTGAACAAGCAGATACAAAAGGAATTCAAGTGCAAATTGCAGGACGTATTGACGCAAAATGTAATTATTTATAAAGATTTTGACATTTGGTTCTCTATTATAGAGAAGTTATAGAGAAACTATGTTGGAGATGCTCTTAGATATTAGATATCGCCAACAAACGTGATGGTAGGGATATAGTTTGATGAAATCCAATGAAGTTAAACGTCCTCTATATCTAGGCTTTCCTAGCTTTGGCAGGCTAGATAGGAGTGCACATGAGTTGGTCTGGACAGTTTGAGACCATTTGAACAACCCAATGCAACTACTTTGGTGGTTTGGTTTGGGAAATCATAACTCATTCAACCCTCTTTACATTTATAACCCAACTCAACCCGTTACATGTCGGTTTAAAGATTTTTATATTACTATTTTAAACCAAAAATTCAATACTTAACCATTCAAAAATATCACAATCATCCAAGTTACTTCATGTCATCTATGGTTAAAAAAAATTAGTACTCGTTAGAGTATTGGGTTAGTAGGAGTCCATTGAATTGTTAATGGACTTGCACTCAATGGACTATGTACTATTGAATGTTTGGAGAAATTTAGTAATTAATAATATATATATATATATATATATATATATATATTTTAATTTTTATAGTTTTGTCGGTTTGACGGGTTGGTTTGGTTTTACATAGACCTAACTCTAAGCTACGCCACTCGCATCGGTTCGTATATCGTATAAATCAAATAAATATTGAGGCAGATTGGATTGCTTAATCAGATATTTTTCGGGTGGGTTGGCGGTTTGAACTCCTTGAAACTGATTGTTCGTCAGTAGAGAGTGCAGTGCACCAAAATATATATATAGATCATATAACTGAATGTCGTACATGGAGCCAAAACCAATGACCAAGTGCTAGCTAGTGGCCACAAGTTACAGAGGATCCTAATTGAAGAAGATATAGCCACATACTTCAACTTTAAGATTGATTCAAAATTAAATCATACTATATATCTATAATAACTTAATGCATGACTCGCTATAAGATAAGTCGATCTGATCACATCATTTTATATTTTTTCAAACTAGTGTTGTAATGAATGTTAATTAAGCTGATTATGTCTGTCTTCTATATATTTAATTATTTGTCAAATTAATGTTAGATATATGAGGCCAAATTTGTTTTCTATTATGTGTTGGTTGGTTGGTTGGTTGCAGTAACACCATCAGGAGCCTAGGCTAGTTACTTTCTTTGACCCCTTGTTGCAATAACATTAATGCAAATCAGTGAGTTCTATATATTATTGTCCCAAAAATAAGTTGAGAAGCCCGGCTGATCAGGTTGACTATATATACATATATATATATATATATATATTCTGGAAAAGGTTTGTGAATTTCTTGCTTAATTTGAGAGAATTTGTATATTTTATAACTTACTTGATCACATCTACCTGGCAAGAAGTCCAATCGCGAAAGAGGAAATAGCGAATCGAATAATTACCATGTTTAATCTACTCTAATTAAGCATCCGATTCATGAACCAAATCGAAACTGATTGTCTGTGTACATATGTTACTAATTAAACAGATGAATCGACATGATCACTCTAGACAAAACCGAGATTGAAAGAATTCATTTTTTCTATTTAAAAATGAAATACATAATTAATAATTAAAGCCCAAAATTTTTGATACATGGTGCCTCCATTTATTCTCTATCAATCTAGACCTTCAACAAGGAAGAAACAAATATGATGATAAACAGTAGTAAACATATTGGGTCACACATGATAATGATCCAAGGGAACCTCATTACTGTCCTTGGTTTTGAGAATGGAAATTTACAAAATCGGAGGAAATTATACTTGAGTTAGGGTTCTCCCCATTAGTACTACCTTTCAATGGTGCAATGTTTGGCACAGTCAGCGGATTGCCGGATTCCATTCTAGAACTCCCCGAATCCCAGCCTCCAAGGAACCCCAAGAATGTATTTCTGGAATTTAACCAACCAGCTGGTGGTTCGGCAATGTTTTTGTTGTAATGATCAAACATGGAGCAATTTGTGGATGAGATGGAAGTGATGTTCCCCAAATAAGTATTGGTTTTGCTCACAGTGTTATCCAAGTGAAGTTGCTTAAGAAAGTGATAGGTGTTTGAATATTCAAGAGGAAAACATGGTGATTCTTCTATATTATGATTATCAGGATTTTCCGAAAACCCTAATTGGGGTTGGTTGAGATGAACTTCAGGATCTGCCTCAAACAACTGCTTTGGTTTCTCAAGATGCTTGATCACCATTCTCTCCCTTGATTCCTCTCTAGCCTTACCCTTCGACTCCCTCACCGATGGATAAATTTCCATCCACTTTCTTGAGTTCGTATCCCTGATCTGATCACTCTGGAGCTCCAAGTTTTCACCTTTGTCCGTAGCAGTTATGATATCGTTCACTGATTCATTTTCACAGGCAGACAAAGGCGATTCGCTCTCAATAGTCTCACCGCAGACTGCAGCTTGAGCAGCATCATCTGATTGAAAGCTTTCAGTGACTTCTTCGATGGCCTTCTTGGACTTGGAAAAGAGCCACTCAATGGTTTTACTTGCTTTGTCGAATCCTAACAGATCATTGAGATCAAAAAACTTACGAGCCGTATGAACAGATAACCTCATTCTCCTGTCTCTAAGGCCTTGAGCTGTATGAATTTTGCTGTGCCTATCTTTCTTACCCACACTTCTTCTCTTCCTTACACATTTCCCTTTAGAAGCCAAAGCTAAAGGGTTGGAGGTGGCGTTGCTGAGTTTCATAGGCTTGTTCAGGGAGCTGACGGTGGTGGTTCTGCATCCATGGGTGGAGAGGTGATGCTGCTGGTGGAGGTTTGGGAGTATTGTAGTGGTATCCATGTCAAGAAAAGGTGAAGGGAACTGCAAGAACAAAGGAGGCTCTTCTTCATGGCTTGAATTGACATTTTCATGGTTGGTTAGCTTGTCTGAACTCACCAACAAGGTCTCAGTGTTTCTTGAAGGAAACATATAATCCATAACTCAGGTAAAGATAGAGAGAGAGAGAGAGAGAGAGAGAGAGAGAGAGAGGTGGAGTTCTTACACCTTTTTGCTTAAAGGAGTTTGATTTATGGTGAAGAGGATAGGTTTTTATTGCATGATATTGATAAGGGTTTTATATTTTTGCAAAGCAATAGTTCTTCGTGCACCGCTCTTTTTTTCCTTTTTTGGAGAACTAGAAATTTGGGAAAATCTACACGTTTATTTTCAAACGTATAGTGACATTAAATGTGTTTTTTTTTCCTTTCCTATTCCAACCTCTTTTCAATCTCTAGCGTTTGTATTTATTTTTTGAAGAAAAAACACAAGAAATCGTCGACTCAAAACTTAATTAACTAAAAGAGTACCAATATTATTGTTGGAACTTGGCTAAGATTAGAGAGAAAACTTGTCTCACATAGGAGCCAAGAGAAAAAGGAACCTACTTAATATACACAAGTTTTTTATGTGTGGTTGTTTGTACTTGAATAACAATTGTTGTATCATCTAGATAGCCTGAATACCAGGGAAATTTCTGACTTAAGACATTACGGATGTGTAACTTTCTAATGATTGTTTGTTGGTTTATGTAAACTCTATAGATTTTATACAAGAATTTCAATTTTTCTACATCTTTATTTATACACACACATATATATTAAAACTATTTAGGTTTAAGTATTTTACACATATGACATTGTGGATATATAATGGTCAAATAAGATGTTACTAATTACAAATCTATATATCACGTTACAACAAATATATAAAGGTTATCAGTTCTTTTGTTTGCAATTAATGTGAACATGTTGAAAAACTAATGTTTTCATACTTATACGCATGGTAAAAAGTCCACTCTTATGTATATACCAATATAAAAAAAAAAGGTTTAATGGCGGGGACCTCATGGCCCCGTGGTCCACATTTTGTGAACTCTACTTGTCATACCTCATAAGCAAGCACCGGAAAAGACAACTTGTCCTCCCCTGGAATCGAACCCGGGTGGGCACGCCCAAGGCAAGGCATTTACGGAAGGAGGTGGCCACTAGACCAAAGCCTAATATAATTTGTCACATTTATAGAAGTTGAAACATATTTTGTAGTTACTAGAAACATACTCGCGCAATGCAGCGAGATATATCGTGATTTTAATATTTCATTTTATTTTTTATCTCAGTCGATGTTATAATATGACTTTATGTGATTTTTGAGAAAACGGTGATGTTTTTATTTTTGAATAAAATATATGTTTGAAGATATCATAAAAATTTGACAAAAATATATCGATATTAGTATCAAATTAACTATTTATAATTTAACTTATGTACAATAACGAAGTAATTTA